TAGAGAATGAACTTAAGGTTGCAGTGGGCAAAAGGTGGGGGAGAAGGGGAGTTTGGGATGGACAGGTACACTTTGCTGTGTTTAAAATGGATAACCAACAAGGACCCACTGTGTAGCACGTGGACCTCAGCTCATGTCATGCGGCAGTCTGGATGGGAGGGGCGTCTGGGGAGAATGGATACATGTATATACTGGGAGAATGGATACATGTATATACTGGGGAGAATGGATACATGTATATACTGAGGAGAATGGATGCATGTATATACTGGGGAGAATGGATACATGTATATACTGGGAGAATGGATACATGTATATACCTGGGAGAATGGATACATGTATATATGGGGGAGAATGGATACATGTATACATGTGTGGCTGGGGCTTCTCTGGTGGCCCAGATGCTATCCACCTGCAATGCAGGAGACCCAGGCTCAATCCCCAGGTTGGGAAGAAACCCTGGAGAAGGAAATGGTTACCCATCCCAGCATTTTGCCTGGAGAATTCCGTAGACACAGGAGCCTGATGAGCTGTAGTCTGCCAGGTCAGACACCGCTGAGCGACTAACACTTTCACTTTGTCACTTTCATATGTATGACTGAGTCCCTCCGCCATTCACCTGAAGCTATCACAACATTGTTAGTTGGCTCCATCCCCAAATAAAATACACAGTTTTTTCTAAAAAAATGAGGGCTGTATTTGATTCTTTTTGTGCATGAAATAAGTGAAAGTGAAAGTTGCTCAATCATGTACGACTCTTTGCAACCCCATGGACTATACAATCCATGGAACTCTCCAGGCCAGAATACTGGAGTGGGTAGCCTAACCCTTCTCCAGATCTTCCTGACCCAGGAATCGAACTGGGGTCTCCTGCATTGCAGGCAAATTGTTTACCAACTGAGCTACTATTTTGTGCATGCTCAGCATCTAATATAATGCTTGGCTCACATTTGGTTCCGTGAGAATGAATGAACAAATGCTGTTAAAATAAAAATAAGAGCAGCCAAGGGATTTCCTTGGTGATCCAGTGGTTATGACTCCATGCTTCCACTACAGGGGGTGCAGGTTCAACCCCTGGCCAGGGAACTTAGATTCCACACTCTTTGAGGTGCGGTCAAAAAAAAAAAAAAAAAAGAGCAGTCAAGTCAGTGATGTTACAGCATTTGTTAAAAAGGTTAGGATGGTTGGTTCAATGGACAAGTATCGATACAAGGCCATTCCATGGGCATATGTGAAAAGCACAATGTGTACAAATGAGGCATTTTTGCTCAAATGCATAATGGAAACAGACTGTTATTTAATTAATTATGAAGGAAGCACACAAGGTTTTGAGCATCACTCTGCTTCACCTGATAATTTGAAAACCACATCATTTAAAGAGCAGTTATGACACTAGGATGCATAAATATTTTCATCATGCCAAGTCATATTGTTGGTTCATAATCTTGGTCAAATTTTACTAGAATTCTGTGTTCTTTGACAAAGGAAAATCTAGAATGTAAAATGGGTTAAAGACAAAAGTCACTGCAGGAGAAACCTGGTTCTCTGTGACAACCGAAAGGGAGGGGATGGGATGGGAGGTAGAATGGAGGTTCAAGAGGGAACGGACGTATGGATACTTACAGCTGATTCATCTTGACGTATGGCAGAAACTAACAGTATTTTAAAGCAATTATCCTCCAGTGTAGAAAAAAAAAAAAGATACACACAAAATCACTCTAGGAAATTAAGAGACTTAGGTAACAGTCCAGAGAATGCTAGAAGTTATTTTAAAACATTTGTTAAGCCTGACACCTGCAGTATAGTCCTATCTATCTGCAGTAGGTTAAGTGTCACGGGTTAGGGGCGCGGTCCCCACAAGACTGCCCTTGCTTCAGAACCAGCAGCAAGCCCCGAGGATCCCAGGCTACCAACCGGTAATAAATTTGGGGTGTTCCCACTTCCCCCGCAGGTTCCATACTTTGCTAGAATGACTCACAGAATTCAGGGAAGCACCATATATCCCACTGCAGTTTTATCATATCTGCTGTTTTGTGCTCAGTCGTGTCCGACCTTTTGTGACCCCATGGCTTGTAGCCTGCCAGGCTCCTCTGTCCATGGGATTCTCCAGGTAAGAATACTGGAGTGAGCAGCCATGCACTCTTCCAGGGGAATCTTCCCAGCCCAGGGATTGAATCTGAGTCTCTTGTGTCTCCTGCATTGGCAGGCGGATTCTTTACCACTAGCACCACTTAATCATAAAGGGTGCACATCAGGAACAGACAAAAGAAGAGACCCGTGGAGTGAGGTCTGGAGGATTACAAACACTAAGCTTCGGTGTCTACAGGAGCATCACCCTCCTGGCACATCCACGGATACCTCCAGCCAGGAAGCAATCCCAAGCCTCAGTGTCTACAGGAGCATCACCCTCCTGGCACATCCACGGGTACCTCCAGCCAGGAAGCAATCCCAAGCCTCAGTGTCTACAGGAGCATCACCCTCCTGGCACATCCACGGGTACCTCCAGCCAGGAAGCAATCCCAAGCCTCAGTGTCTACAGGAGCATCACCCTCCTGGCACATCCACGGGTACCTCCAGCCAGGAAGCAATCCCAAGCCTCAGTGTCTAGAGGTTCTACTGGGTCTCATTACATAGCCACGATTCGTTGAATCACTGATCATACGATTGAACTCAAATCTCCAAACCTCTTACCTTCCACAAAGATTGAGCTGATGTCCTGAGGCTCAAAACCCCGAACTGTAGAGTCACATGGTTAATCTTTCCAGCACGACCAGCCTCCACCTTGGAAGCACCGCGACTGGACCTCCAGGGAATTCTCTGGGAATTCCCATAGTTAAATTCCCTTATTGTTACTTTTTGGTAGCAAGGCTACATGATATAATACCTGAAAGATCATATTTTAAATCTGGCACAACTTACACATTCAAATGTTGCTTTCCTTTCCTATAGAAATTAGTATGTATTTTTACACTCCTCCTCCTCCATGGATACAATGAGATAAAGTTTCTCTCTTGCTGATGGCAGGTCAAAAAAGATGGGGAGTACAGTGTTAGCCTGACAAACTTGACTTTTAAATAAAATGCTAAATTGTTTAAAATTGGGGGTAGGGTGGGTGGGATGGGGAGTTTGTAATAGGCAATTAAAAAAATTAGAGAAGTATGGGGATAAAAGGATGCCTTGATAAGTTAAAACTGTAATATTTCATCAAGGATTTAGAATTTTTTTTTTAAAGCACAAAGCCTTATTGTCTTAGAATTTAAGGCAGTAGTATAAAAAGGAACAAATTAACCTTTCCCTTTAAAATATGAAAAGTTTCGAAAAGATTACCACTTGGGGAAAGAGACTCACATTGTTTTATTTAACATATGATACATGAGCCAACTCATTGGAAAAGACCCTGATGCTGGGAATGATCAAAGGCAGGAGAAGGGGATGACAGAAGACGAGGTGGTTGGATGGCATCACCGACTCAATGGACATGAGTTTGAGCAAGCTCCGGGAGCTGGTGGTGGACAGGGAAGCCTGCCGTGCTGCAGTCCGTGGGGTCACAGAGTCGAACACAACTGAGCGACTGGACAACATGAAAATCAAGCAGAACTTCTTGGGCTGGATCCTTAATTTTCATGGGTTCTGTTGTACCCATGTATGCACATAACAGGTTAAGGTCACCATCAGAATATGATGGAACTTTAAGAATGAGATTAAATATTCCAAGTATACTATTCTCACAAAACTTAAGTGATATTACTAAGAGTGTGGATATCAAGCTGTTTTAGCCAGAATTACTTACACTGAAAATGAAGATTAATGGGATTTAATACAGTTAAAGCAATTCTAAAATTCAGTGCTAAAAAATCAGGGCCAAAATCTTTCTGAACTTAAGACTCAAAACTGTGCAAGGAACATACTGTGCTAAATCTACTTGTGCTCTTAAACTTATCTCATCTTCAACCTGCCAAATTAAATTTCACTTTTAAGAGAAACTATGATAATCTTATTATTATTTAAGAAAACAATTGTTTTCCCTTTGGGATCCCCTGGTGGCTCAGTGGTAAAGAAACCTGCCAATGCAGGAGACGTAGGTTCGATCCCTGGGTCAGGAAGATCCCCTGGAGCAGGAAATGGCAACCCACTCCAGTATCCTTGTCTGGAGAATCTCATGGACAGTGAAGCCTGGGGGGTTACAGTCCACGGCGTTGCAAAAGAATTGGACATGACTTAGAGACTAAACAACAACATTTTCCCTTCAACTTAAAACTTCAGATCATGAAGTTTCCCAGCACCTTTGATAAATAACAGGAAATCCGCCTTGTGATACATATACTTATAGGACACAGGATGATAACTCTTCTTCCTCTACCCCCATGTTCCACAGAAAAATTAAAGCACATTTAACGTACACTTTTAAATGATCAGAGAAAAGCCTAAGATTTAAAGGATACTTTACTTTCCCTCTTCATAACAAAATCCAACCTTTATTTTCCCTCTTTATAACAAAATTCCATCAAACACATTCTTTTTACCAAAAAAAAAAAAAAATCAACAGAATAATTTTTATTTATAATGAAGTTATTCTCTCTGGACTTTAAATCATCAGTTCACTCTTACAACAGAGATTCAATTTAAATAAGACCACCAAAATGGAATGGAAAAAGGAAAACAGTCTATTTTTACATATCAATTTCTTTGATATGTCATAATGATATACAATCAGTCTTGCAACATGGTCCATGTCCAGTGAAATTCTCAACAGACTGTAAGTATTAAGTCCTTCATGTTGAAGTTTCAGTCCAAGGCATGCCGGGCAAGGCCCTCATGATTGCTCTGGAGGTTAGACAAACAGGGTTCTAAAGAAAGGCCGACCTCATACGTACATATGTAATCCATCCACAAATGGATAGCATGCCTTCAGAGCCTTCGGTTTTCATAAGTCCCTTTGGAAAGTTGATTGATGAATTAATTCCATTTTATAAACAGAATTTTGCAGAACGAACCACTGCCTATACAGTCTGTGCCAACGTCCCTGACTTCTGCAGGTCCACCATCTTCTTTATCAGATCATATGGTGATGGCAGTCTTATTTTATCCATGTTTTTGCTGTAAACATTGAGAAATATACCAAGGACAACTAAGAAGCCAGACCACACATACCTAAGAGAAAGAAATAAGGAAAAAAAAAGATTAATGTCAGAGTAACAATTTATCATTAACCATAGAATTTGATGATTTCACAAAAATTCTTCAATAAAATATTTTGCTACTGGATACCGAAAAGCACTAAAATAGTATTTATTTTATTTTACAAATAATATTTAGGTCATAGTAGATAGAATTCTGTATTTTTAGTGTTAAGTATGTATGTCAGGAAAGTATTTTACAGAATTTTAAATAGAGTGCATTTGAGTTTTGAGGATAATAGTAAATTCAAAGTCCAACACATCTACTACAAGTCTCGTAAGTATGTTTAAAGCACTGGATACATAAATCTGTCAGGGAATTTAACACAGCAGCCCAACTGGTTATCCCAGTGCGGGGTAGAATATACAGACAGACAGGGGCACATCTGAGAAAGCAGAACTGGCGTGGATTAATACAACGGGTACCTAACTCGCAGAAAGAGAAGCTCACTTATAGAAAACAAACCACATAGGTGCCCCTGCTATCAGCTGGGCACTGGTTCCAGAACTAATCCCCTCTACCCAGAGGATACTAAAATCTGCAGATGCTAAGGTCTTTTATATAAAATGGCAAAGTATTTGCATATAGCCTATGCACAACCTTGTGTATACTGTAAATCATCTCTAAATTATTATAAGACCTAACATGATGAATCTGCCATGCAAATTCAAACTGCACTTTTTGCAACTTTCTGGAATTTTTTTTTCTTGAATATTTTTGCTCTGCAGTTGGTTGAGTATGCAAATGCAGAACCTGTGGATAAGGAAGACCGACTATATGGGGATGATAATTTATTGTGTGGTTACCTGACCCTTGAACAACGCAGGTTTGAAAAGCACAGGTCCCCTTATATGTGGTTTTTCTTTTTAATAAATACACAGTCGGTCTTCTATGTGCATATGTGGAATCTGTGGACGCAAAGGGCTGACTGAAAGGGACTTCAGCGTCCTTGGATATCGGGTCCTGGACCGGTACTCTGTGCATTCTGAGGGATGACTGTACAATGATCATGTCTAAGTCTGAATCTTCTCAATTACCAACCAGTATAAGTTTAAATGATACTAATTTCAAATACATACTAGACAGTAAAGAAAACAGTCAGTGCTTCTACCAGAAGCCAGAAACTGAGAAAACCATTAGGGCACAATTTACAGAATATTTCTCTTTGTAGGAAATATCCTTTGTAGGAAAAGGCAGCAAATAACCTTAAGAATCATCTATGTAGGTATTTATAATTTATATATCTGCACCAGGGCAAGAGGAATCCCTTAATCTCACCACATCATTCATATTCATTTATACAAGAAACAGGGTCACAAGTGCATTGGGACTGGTTAGGCAATTTAAGTGTACAAAATGATTTCTTCAAAATAATTACATACATTTCTGAAACAGCAGAAGACACATCCATAAATGTGGGTCAAGATGAAAAGGATTCTTGACAAAGAAATTAAGGCTGTTTAAGAGGAAATGTGGAAGTACCTAAAGGCAGAGAAACTTGTTGAATTGAGAAGTACTTACTGGAATGTGAAAGGTTTGGCAAAGAATATAAATGAAAGAACAATGGTCATTGCTTTCCTCCCTGTTGTCACTGTAGGGAGAAAAAGGTTGGTTTTAGAATGCGCCTACTATCTTGGTAATACTTTGGAAATCATCTATTTGACACATCTTTACAGAGCCTACTGTGCACCAAGATCTACATGAGGTGTCAAGGAAACAACAACAACAAAAAAACAACAGAAAGTCACTGCTCCTACAACCATGGAGTTCACAGTTTAGCAGGGTTACAGACATTAAACAATGAGGCTACATTTTACAGTACAACTGTAGTAAGTACTTGATGGAGGCCGTGATGCTATGGAGCTTCACCATCTTTTAGAGAGACATTCTTGGTCTGGCAAGAAACGTTTTTCCAAGGAAGACAGGATTAGGTAGAATGGAGATTCTTTGAAGGCAACAATCTACAGGACACCCTCACACTCTTAACGGCAGGCACAGCCGGATAAAACCATGAACATCTTTCCTGTCCTCTGCCCTTCAGGGGTTGTGGCCGGAAACCTTCCTCCCCGGTCCCACTTGGGGGGACAGGGACTCCGCCCGTGGCTCCAGCACACCTCCCTCCACTGGACTGTGCTCGGCTCAGCTCCTTCTCTTACTGGTCCTTCTTTCCCAGACTCTAGTTCCAGGGACATAAACGTTCAAAGCATGAATGAATGAATACCAGAACTGTTTTGGAAACACGTGTCAGAGCCTGACTCCCCAAAACTATTTTTCCTTCTACCTTAGTAAAAGGATCCCATTTTTTAACCAGGATACCTGCCCAGCCTCTCCTACACACAGTGGGTGTGGTCATGGAACTGGGTTTAGTCAACCAAGTGTCAATTCAAGTGTCAGCAGAAGTGCTGTCTCTAGGAGTGTGATTTCTAGGGAGTTTACATAAGGAGATGGACGTGTCTTTCATGTTCTCTCCACCTTCCTGCCGGGAAGGAGGATGAAGATGGCAGAGCAGAGAGACGGAGGGCCTGGAGCCACCAGGCCAGCTTGGGCAGCGTGGGGCATGTGGCCAGGAGGACATGCTTATTGCATAATCTATCAAGTATGTCATCCTTACCTGTTACAGCAAGAAGGGCACCGAAAATTTTAATCAAAGCCAGAACAAAAGAGATTCCAAAATACCCAGTGAGGGAGAAAAGGAAAGCATAACCATAGGTCCGAATTGGATCCTGTAAAATATAAAAAATCTTTTTTAATGAAAAATGAAAAACAAACTCTGAGGTATTATAAATTAAATAAAACTACAGATTTTAATCAACTTCTTGAGCAGTAATAAGCCATTCAACAATGCAGTCAAGCAAAGATTCTTATTTAGTTCTGATTTAATGGAAAAATAATGATGAAATTAAAAATCCCCAACTTATACATTATGAATAGTTAAAAAGTAACTTCTAGAAAAGAGCAAGGATAAAAAAAATTTAAATATAAATCATTTCATTTCTAAAATAATTTCTGAGCTACATATACTGTATTAAAGAAGTCATCAAGCTAAACAAAATACAATCTTTTTGAACACGGGGATTCAGAAATACAGAGGAAACTAATGGAAGACGTTTATTTAAAAAAATGTGATTAGTGTTTACCTTTGAACAAAATGTTACTGCAGGGCCTAATCCACTAGTGCATGTCAATCCCAATAAAATGTACACAAAACCGATTGAATACGAATACAAAACCTAGAGAAGAAAAAAATAAAGCGGGGGAAAAAAGTGCTCTTGAACCAAAGGTGGAAATGAATAGTTTTCAATATGTGGCTCAATTAACCTATTCAGTTAAATGTGTAGAAGAAACCATTTTAAAAGTAACATCATTGTTTCAATATGGTCTAATTTTCTGGAAATGATGGTTGATCCTGTTTATAAGTTTTAGGTACAATATAACTTGTATAACAGAACTCAGCAGAACTAATCCTTTCATATATGACTACCTAATTATTCATTTTTTGCTTAGCTTAATTACTGAATTCAAACCAGATTTTAGTGTTGGGATCCTAGAAATATACACAAGACAAAGATACTCTGAAAACTACTTATTAGACATGAAAAACCCAAACATTAAGCTTGCAAAGACTATTAAAATATAATGAAAATAAGCAGCATATGGCATATTTATTATTTGATTTCTCAATTTTCCTACCAACCTTTCTATCCTGGTTTATTATGCTCCTTATAAGCAGAATCAGCATTACTGTCAAACATCAAAACTTGCTATGTGTCAGGTACTGTGCTAATGATGCTCTATAGATTAATCCTTTTTATTTATTTCTCACAACCAGCTGAAGAGACAGGCACTTTTTTTTTTTCAGGCTATACATATTTTTTTTAACCTTTTTATTTTGCATTGGGGTATAGCCGATTAACAAAAAATATGATAGTTTCAGGTGAGCAGTGAAGGGAGTTGGCCACACACACACAGGTATCCATTCTCCCCCAGACTCCCCATCACCCAGGCTGCCACGTAACACTGAGAAGAGTTCTCTGCACTGTCTAGTAGGGGAGTCAGGCACTCCTGACCATCATTTCCTACCAGTGTGTGGATGGGGAAACTAAAACTTAGAGACAGTAAGTCATCTTCCCGAAAGAGGAGAGCTAGTTTAGGGAGGACATAAACCAAGGCCATCTTAGAGCAGAGTGTACGTTTGAACCACTGTATTGCACTAACTTTCTAATTACCTACAGTTTCTTAAATCTCTGCTCTTTCCCTTACCCAGGAAGAGCGGTGATGATCAAGAAAACCCCTGACCAAGATTAAGGCTCCTGTGTTCTCAGGGACTCCGCACAGATGCCCCACTCTGCTCCCAAAGTAATCAGCCCTACATATCCTTAGCGCAGTGAGCTCTGTCTGTCTAGCAAGGTGGTCGGCTGTAAAACTCATGCAAACACACACATAATGTATTTTCTGCATACAAATAGCAACCAGTTAGAAGACACATAGGAAGATAAGATAATATTTGCAGTAATAAGGGCAAAAAGATGAAACACCTAACAATAACTTCAATTAAAAAAAATAACTGAATTAATACAAAGAAAACTTGAAAGTCTAAGGGACATTTAAAGGAAACACTTGAATAAAAGAAAAGTCATACCTCATTCTTGGACTGAAAGAATCAAGTGTATAGATACCATTCTCCCTAAATTAATTTATTATTCAATGCCATACCAATCACAATACCAATGAGATTTCTAGTTTATCTGGGGATATGAACACCCAAGAATAACTACTGGCAGTAAAATTCTGAAAAACAAAAGGAACGATGGTGGCTAGTCGTAACAGATGGCAAACATCTGGTGATAAAGCTGCTGTCATACGCTTCTGGTGCAGAAACAAAATGGAAAGGATAAAATTCCAAACCCTGAATCAGAACATGAGAGGATGGAAGAAGACATTTAAAATAAAAGTTGGAAAAGTGAACTATTCAATAAGTGATACTAGGGCAAGTGGATAGTCATATGGAAGAAAATTTTTAGAAAGCTTTGGCTGGATCAGAGATTTAATAAATAAGGAGACTGTAAAACTAGGAGGCAACTGGCATAAAATCCTTAAAATTTTAGAGCTGGAAAAGCCCTTTTCAATAGCAACGCGCAGCCAGAGCCGTGAAGCGAGAGACAAGCTAAACTGCAAGCACGCTACAAACTTCTAGAGGGAGCATGATGCTAGAAGCAAAGAGAGGATGAATGTGGTGCAACAGAGAAATTTTTAACATGCCCCAAGCCCCATAAATCAAATGCTTATCGTAAGGTGTAAGTGGTGGTGATGGTATTTTACTTTTTACCTTCGTATGACACTTGAATGTGCTACTTTTATGAAAATAGTGATGATAAACCAGTTTAAAAATGCAATGCAAAAATGCAAATCTTCAGTACTATAATTTTGTCATAAAACTAAGGACATCATCATTTTTGAGTCTGTCTGATGTGATGAAAAAGCACGAGAGCATTTACCATTTCTGAATTAGAAGCATTATGCAGCTTCATAACTTTCTCTTGGACATTCCCAATGACAGCATCTGCGCACAGAGCCAGCGAGATGAGGACCACACCTTCAAGAAGGCATAAGAAAAAAATAACCTTCTCATTCAAATGTATGAACAGTAATCAAGACTTATCAGAAATTTGATGGGCTAAAAAAACAGCAGACCTTAAATTACACTTGCTCAGTAGAGTATTCTTATCCACATCCAGCTGTAACAGGCATGTAGGTGGTATTATCGAAGAAAACAAAACTAATATTAATAAATTGCATTAATGCCATCACCTTATTGTGTTTAATAATCATGTCAAGTAACAGTTTTACATTTAAAGTATTGATTTTTAATAGGACTTGAGATCATTATTTTGCAGTTATCCTGGATTTTATATACATATTTTTGTTTTTAAAGGCTCTTTTGGAAAGGCTCATAATGCACAGAAATGAAGTCAGGCAGTTTCAGAACTTTAGTGATTAGGTTACAAGTCTGAAAGAAACACTGTACTGAACAAATATGGTGAGAAGTTACAGAACCACTGAAACCACCTTTTTCCATCATCATCACCCACACCCCCATGTGCAGGTGCTTTCACATCCATTATACGCTCCCACTACGTTCGTGTGAGGCAGGCTCTTATCTTTTTTATGTGAACCACTCCTATCCCTGGTGGCTCAGGTGGTATAAAGAACCTGCCTGCAATGCAGGAGCCACAGGTTTGATCCCAGGGTTGGGAAGATCTCCTGGAGGAGGAAACGGCAATCCACTTCAGTATTCGTCCCTGAGATAGTCTATGGATGGAGGAGCCTGGCGGGCTACAATCCACGGGGTTACAAAAAAGTCAGACACAACTTAACGACTAAGCATACACATGCCTCTGAAATGACTTTTCCCCTCAGTCTCCAAATATAACCTTCCTTTTGCAGGTGTGGACACAAAGAAGTTAAAACAATGAAAAGTAAGTGTGCACATTTCTTTTTTCTTTCTTAAGAAAATAACCATTACTACTGTGGTTCTATAACTTGTGTGTTTATTTCCAACCCAGTCCTTAAAAGATTGATCTATCAAGTACTTGGAAACAGGAGATCCTAACTGGACAAACAGCCTCCTGTCATGTCAAAATACAAGAGTACTGAAAATGATGATTATGTTTCAGAGTTGTGACACTTTTACTACATCTTATATGAGAGTTCAAAAACTTTATGCTAGATATGAGAACCACAGATGTCACACCATCATGTAAAACACTAATCAAAGTGTAAAAATTCTTACTCTGAACTGAAATGCTGACAAAATCCCAGAAGACAGATAAACTCCTTACCTGTCAGGTTGAAATTTGGTGCAACCGTGCTGTCGGCTAGGGTAAACCATATCAGGCCGAGGCTCATACATAAGGCAGCAGACACGTCTGCAACATTATAACGCTTTCCTGTGTATAATAAAGGGTAAGTCAACCTCATTATGCAATTACCCACTCAGCACAGTGTTGGATCTATGCGTCTAACAAGCTCAGCAGGGATTGCTTTTTATACACAATGTCAGAAATGATCAAGAACATTTTAGTCAAGGGATGAGATGGTCACAGAAGAGTTTCTGAAAATTAAATTATCCTATGAGCACCAAAATGTCCTTTAAATTAGACACGAAATCCTTCTTTCATCTGTTATGACAGTGATTGAATTAGAACATTTAAAAGGTTTGTGGAATTAGTGCCTCTTTTATTTTATAACATAAGCCTATGAATTCTCTTATAGTTTCTAAGTTTACAAAGTAACCAGAGTAGTTATTCAAGGCTATAGATAAGTTTGCAAATAACTCCAGTCAGATAACTTCTAAACTGGTGAGGATTAACTTATTTCAGTACATCTACATTTAAATAAGGAAATTATACAATGTAACTTTTTGGAAGGATTGCAATGAGATATTATTACACAGGTTAAGTTATTTACAGAGTTAAATGTGATTTTTTAAGAGGAATTGAGATTTTTTTCCTATATGAACAGTTATCCTGAAATTATACGTTTCAGTTGACATGCATATTTTCATTTTAAAAGGCTCTTTTGGGAAGGCTTATAACGCATAAAATGCAGTCAGGGCTGTGTGAGAAATCTAGTGTTATCAGAACAGGAATATTCCTCGTGACTGTCATATGAACTTGCTCCATAGCTTGTCACTATCACTGCTTCCTCTTTTACTCCAGCTTTCATAGGCCTGTAACTTAGTTGGGGCTCAGCAGAGTGGGTTAAATAATACTTTTGCTCAGCTTAAGCTATACTTCATCACGAGAATTATCCATTTGTACAACAGAGGTGGAGAGTGGAGCCCTGGAGAGTAGGAAAATCAAAGAGTTGAAAACAGAGCTTTCTGGGTACTTCTGAGCTAAGCCTTCAATATGTGAATATGGCCTTTAGGCAATGTAGTAGACTCCAGGCAAAAAGAATAAAACAAAATACTATTTTGATTTTCCCCAAGTCCAAAGGTTTCAGATCCTGAGGTATATCAGGGAAGTATCAGTGTTTTTATAATATCTTATTTATATTAGATTATCACTCAGAATCGTTACAATACCGAGAATGTTCATTAAAGATATTAATCGAAGTTTAATGTTTTTCCTAATGCTAGATGTCACAGCATATCCTGTTAGCTTCAAACAGTATGAAAACATATCATTACTATACCTTGAATAAAAACTCCTCCTAGCATAACAGGAATCAATTTGCAGCACTTGAAGATGACTTGGGTAGGATAATTCAGGTAGCCCAAGGAAGTGTTTGATAACCCCATAGTACCCACAGTTAGAAAAGCTATTATCATGTAGGTTTTTCCTGGTATTCTGTAAAAGACAATTTTCAAAATCTTCATTTTGGGACCCAATTATACTACTGTAAGAGAATGTGCTTACAATGTGTAAATTCCTAATTACTCTTCTAATTTCTGTTTAATACTTCTAGAAATATTGGTAAAATATCACTATTCTTAAAGGTATAGCACTGCTTACTTGTATAGAGAATGCTGGTAAAAATAACAGTTTACCCTTATTTAATGAATTGTAAGTGAGGGCTCTCAACTGTGTGAAAAAGTAGTACATTAGAGAGTTACTTATATTCTTACTAAAAGTATAAATGTTTGTTACAGTTAAGGTTTTTTAACAGAAGTGACAGTTACATACAAAAACCATCTTGACTAAATGTAGACAAGAAGAATGGATATTTAAGAAATATTGGCTCCTAAAAGGGTAAAAAAGCACCTTGCTGTTGTTATTCAGTCACTGAGTTGTGTCCGACTCTTTTGCGACCCCACAGACTGTAGCCTACCAGGATCCTCTCAGTCCATGGGACTCTCCAGGCAAGAAAACTAGAGTGATTGCCATTTCCTTCTCCAGGGGATCTTCCTGACGCAGGGATCCCACCTGGGTCGCCCGCATTGCAGGCAGATTCTTTACCGTCCGAACCACCAGGGCAGCCTTAGTTAACTTTCAGCTCCTTTTAACTCCTAACTGCTGCTGTTTCCTAGTGTTTCCATCTAGCATCAGGAAAAATATATCTGTCCATTCTGCTCGAATAATCAGAGCAGAATTTCTCTAGGAAGTCCATGGTGGTTTAAAACTCTAGATGATTTTTATTACTATAATGTCTTATGCCTTATCTCTAATGCTATTAATTCTATAAATTGTTAAAATAACCAACTTTCAGATGAGGAATCCGACTCTCTCATGATACCAGATGTTCTACTTTGGGTTCTAACTGGACTTCCTAAAGGAGACTCTTAATATGGTATCTTCAGAATTTTGAGCTATTCTTGGGAGCATATGCTTACTTTGAAGAGATACTCAATGGTCTAAAATAATAACTTTGTACATTCACATAATTCTATTATGTTGCATTTTTAGATTTATGTTGCAGATTTAGATCTAGTCTTCATTTTGGGATTTGTGTTCATGTTTAAATCAAGACAACAAAATTCCATTTTTTTTTTAACATGGCTATGCATAAGGCAAAATAATTTACTAGAAAAGTTCAATTAAAATGTATCATTCCAACTCAATTTTGAGACCTCTGCTTACACTTAACTACGAATACAGTGGTCAATATTCAAAATTCACATGGAAATAACTGGGCATGCCCACACGTACCAGTGTACACAAACACTGGTTTCTACACTGTCCGTGGGGTTTAACCCTCAGGGGGGTTACCAGTGAAGGAGGTACAGCACTGCTTCTCCAGGAGACAACAGAAGTCAGAAGGGGCAAATTTCCTCACTCATAAATTGCAAACAGTGGCCAGAAAATTCAAGTCAGAAGAATCACAAGATTAGAAAAGCAGCACAGTAAAGGAGAAGGAAAACCAGCCTGCAACTCAGGAACCCTAAATTCAAAAGGTCCCAGCGTGGGGCGTGAGCTCGCGGAAATCTCCGCTCTCCTCCAGGTCTGCTTTCTCACTGCTGACATGAGGCCAGATTTCACCATCTTGCCTCTAGGACTCTCACTGTTTCTACTCGAATACTCCAACTACTTACTACTTTAGATATGATGGGGAAGCTGTAATTTTGAAAAGTCCTTTGAAAAGCAATTTGACAGATCTCCTTTACTGAAAACTCACACAGAGAAATTAACACCAAAGTTACAAGGTCATCTTCACTGAAATAGCAAGGCGTATACTTAAGGAATTCTAGACCATGACATGTGATACCACACATCGCCATATTTCATCCTCAACATGAAGCAGAGACAATGTCAGAAACTTCCCTGGGGAATTGACAGAACTTCGAGGCTCAAATTCATATTTTCTAACCAAATTCTGTACTCTTACAAGCTCATGGATATTGACACAAATACAGGAAGGGAGAAAAAACTAAGCAAAGAATTCAACTAATTAGAGGGCTAAAGAGCAGTGCCACTTAAATAAATTCAGAGATACATACATATTAAGAAATATGCGATTGGGCATGTTTTCACTGTAATACACCTTTAAAGATTTTTTTTTTTCCTAAAAAGGGTTTTAATGTGCCTCGGAATGAAAAGTTCTCAATTCATAATTACATTTTATTATAGGCCTGTAAATTCTTCTACCCAATTTCTTCACCTCTGTTTACGTTAAACACAAATGACTTTGTCTTTAAATATGTTATGGGCAAGTGATTTGAGGGCTGAGAAAAACATGACTGATGGCTCACTCTCCATCTTTTGGTAGCTAAGAAAAAGCTGTATCTTTTTAAAATTTACCACTTAGGAGGATGCGTCATCTAGTGTTTTTTTCATCTAATAAATACAGCACTGTGATTTTTTTACTTTAAAGTGATCAGAGGTCCAGCAATTTGCAATACATAATAAATCATCAAGTTTCCACGTATATTAGTCTTGACAGATGTATTTACTTACTTTCTATTCTATCTCCTATGGCTGGGCTAAGTCTTGCGGAGTTTCAGAGCATGAAAATGATGAAGATCTTGGAATCAAACATTTTTAAAATTGCTGCCGTAATAATTTATTGGCAATATAGAGGTTGAGAGGTAAAATTAGACCAATGATACTGATGTTGCTCATTTAAATATGTAAAATGTTATAGTTATCTTCATACAAATATCAAAAACATCTATTTAAGAAAACATTTATATCAATGAAGACAATGTTAACACTGTTATCTCCTTGGTACACTTAAAACTATCCAATATATGTATGAAATACTCACATTCTAGGGTCTGACATGACAGGATAACCACACTTAAACTTACCCAGAAAATATTATATTCAAATTCCCTACCACCTTCTGATATGAGATGAAGTTTTCATTGCATATTGTTCAATATGCCAGGAAAAATATTTCAAGATATTACTCAAACCTAAGTGGTCATTAATTTAAAAGATACTGTCATATAAACGCTTAAGTTTTGATGGGAAGGAACATTATGAAATTTCTCTAATGTCCATGAATATAATCCCAACTGCTGGTCATTACAAATGTGATAAGTGGAACATGACCCACAAAACAAAGCATTAACTGTCCATTTCAAAAAACCAGTATAAAAATAGGTATTCACATTTCATATCAAGGCCACTCTTAGGTAGTATAAAATTTTCAGTAATCACACCTATTTCCATTATAAGAACATATATGTACATCTGAATACGTTCTAAGAAAATCTATCTTATTATTGAGTCTGAACAACATTCCGTTTCTGGTGGCGCTGCGTGGCTTGTGGGATTTTAGCTCCCTGGCCAGGGACTGCACCAGGGCCCCTGCAGTGAAGTGCAGAGTCCTGACTACGGGATCATCAGGAAATTCCTTCAGCAAGTTTTTGGTAATGTTACACTTCAGGGGATACTACTTTTTTCAATATATAATGGAAATATCAAATTTACTATTTTTAATACATTGACAACACTGATGAAAATTCTTGGGTATTAAATGTTTTATTAACGTAAAACATATATATTTCACATATAACATACTCCATGCGCCCAAAATAATAAAACAAGAAAATTAACTACTAGTCATGTACTTAACTGCCAAAAAATAAAAATAAAAACAAGCAAACCACATACCTTCTCCTTTTGTCCTGAATTAGCTGAAGTTCTATTAGGCCAAATATGGAGTAAAATGCAAACTGCACTAAAGTAAGATACCAGCCATAGGGCTTAAAACCCTCCACTGAAAATATTAATTCCTGTCAAGAGATACATGAACACTGTTAAGTTCAGCGGAGGACCAATCTCCTCACAATGAATTCATATAAGCACAGCATTTTAATAGAAACCAAGCTTCACCCCTCAAAACAGCAAAATGAACCCCAAACCATCCAAACGTAAGGCTTCTTAGAGAAGCTCAGATGCCTTTAAAAAGACGGCAGACATCCAGCACAACAGGAGAGGGGGGAGGAAGAACTAGGAAGTAACTCCACTGCGTGCTTTTCTCTTTTTTTAAAAGACCAAAATTAAGAGAGTTGCCTAAAACAATGAGGGAGGCAAATGACTGAAGAACTCATGTACTTTTTAAAAAGCAAGTCTCATTAGAAGTCTACTACCGCAAGCCTGTTTTCCTGTATTAAAATAATCATTCAACTCACTAGTTAATGAATTTTTTTAGAAGTCCTGCATCATGGATTACATAAAAAACTTTCCCTTATAGAAGAATGGTTACTCTTCCAAAGCATAATGTTATATCATGAAAAAAATTTTTTAATTGTTAATAAGCCATTCTTAATCTCATTAAGTTGTCTAATAAAGTTATCTGGCTTAGCTAAATAAATCACCTACCACATATATAAATATTATATAAAATTACATAATATGTAATATAAATATACATTTCAGCTATACTTTAAATACATTTTAAAAAGATGAAATTGATGGATAAATTTATGTTCAAAGAAAAACTAAACATAGGCTCTAAAAAGATCCTGAACTGATTTTGTCCATTTAGGATTCTGTGCAATTTGCCAAATTTGGATTTCATGTTTAAGTAAGTCTGTGAGTTATTTAGTAGGAGTTATCTGGTTTATAAAAAAACAAAAAATATCTTTATTAATATCCTGACACTAGGTAAATATTTCCCTTTCTATATTGCTAAAATTACTACAAAACCCCATTTTCTTTAAACTATTTTAACATGGAGTTTTATGGAAGAGTTAGTAGCAATGTCAGTTCTCACAAAAGTAATGTTACAATTTAATCAGTTTATCTAATTTTAAAAGAAACTTAGAACATATTAGTTTTAAGTTAAAATCCCTGATCATTTATCAAATAGGAAAAAATTTAACGAAATTTGTAAATTTCTAATTCATTTTCCATTACAATGGCTAACTTTGCTCCCAAGCTATTTGGTAACAATGGTATTTCAAAGGAGAAAAAATGCTTCTCAATAAGAAATTTCAACATCTGATAAAAGTTACTATTTTGTGTTGTTCTTCATTGTTATACCTGAATTTTTATATCATCTTCTAGTAGAAAAATCAGTTATCAATATAAAGATTTTTAAAATTCATGTTGTTTTACACTAAGACACCCTATAGCACTTTTAGAAGCAAAGGAATAGTCACAATTCTATTTTCTATTTTTAAACTTACTTTTATATTTCATTTCTATAAGATAAAGGAAAAGCAAATAATAATTTTTAAGATCACTCTGATTATAAAGAATATCAGAAATATTATCTACATTTAAGAAAATGCATCACTTTCCTTTTCTTGAACTATAAAGATTTCTCATGTTAGGGAATTGCAAAGAAAAAGCAAGTTGGTAAAGGCTGAAAATATCCACTAATGAACTGACAATTGAGAATATGTCTGCTATTTACACTAGCCTGGACTGTTATCCATCTAGCTCATGTCTTTGAAGGTCAGGACTTTGCTGGTCAGATGTATACAATTATCCCAAAAAACAACACAAATACAAGACAAATTGTGGCAATGCTAGACATTTTTTGCAGAGGCAAAAATCACAGAAAAATAACGTGCTGGCAAAGTTGGGCTTCCCTTGTAGCTCAGTCAGTAGAGTCTGCCTGCAATGCAGGAGACTCGGGTGCAATTCCTGGGTAGGGAAGATGCCCTGGAGAATCCACTGGCAACCCACTCCAGTATTCTTGCCTAGAGAATCCCATGGACAGAGGAGCCTGGAGAGCTACAGTCTATGGGACTGCAAGAGTTGGACATGACTGAGCACAAAGCTTGTTTACAAGAGGAAACCAACAAGGATGAGAATACAACAGATGCTTAAAGAATGATTCAAACAGTATAGGATTAAAGACACACCCTTGGAAAAATATTAAACATCCAGATATATTCTTGCAAAATGACCTCTTACTGAGCTCCAGGAATTTAAAAGTAAATGGGAATATGGCTTTCGTGCTGTTCAATTTTATGTGAGAACTGTGTTCCAAAATATCAATCAATACTTGAATCATTTTCTTTTAAAAAACACATGGTTATACTTACTTATTATACATTTTCCAAAACATAACACTTCATATTTTTTCATAATTTTAGTTTTTAAAAATTGTCTACGGCTCCCCTTCCCCCATGTAAAATACTTCACTCTAAAATTTGGATCCCTGTTTTCAGCCAATTTTATCTTAAGTAGCCCTTTTCTACTAGTGTACTAAGAAACTCAAATCTGTGAATCAACTTGCTATCCTATGAAGGGAAGTCTCTTGGACAAAACTGTTGGTAGGGCCCAAAATGAGCTCAACTACTACAAATAATTAACATGTTATAAACAAAGAACTAATTTTTTACCTGTAAATATCCATAAATTAGGTAAAACACAAAAACTCCAGCAACGCATATGAAAAACTGAGTCAGTTTGTTGAATCTGCTGAGATTTATGCCAAGCACTACAATGTCATCTATAGACTTGATGTGTGGTGACATTGCTTGGGTTTTGGAGGGGACAGTGATAGAAATGTATTTCCTGGAGCTGTTGAACTTGAGATCCATTGTTCTTATTTTGCCGCATTCAGTGCTACCAAAGTTATCTTTGTTGGTTTTCTCTCCTTTGTTCAGTCCTCCTGCCTGCTGAGCCACGTCCTACAGAAGGAAATAAACAATTCGAGCAAAACATTTAGACCATCACGTAAAGTGCTATGCTCCAAATACTATCTCAGATCACATTTTGAAATTTATATAGGTAAGAGTCATTCTCTCTGGATATTTTACATTAATTCTCCTCTTCAAGCTTCCAATCGACCAAAATAGGTTTACTCTCTAAACAATCTACCTTCACCTGATAAAGACCAATACACCACTAAATACACACCATTCTTATCTCCACAGCAACAAATCAAAAGCTAACCTTGTATTTATTTCAAAGAAGTAAAGAAGTAAGGGTGCCTTTATTATGCTTCTATTTGTAGTGAGGATATAATTTTTAAAGCCCACAATAGTATATGCAGAACATCTTCAACATTAAAAGTCAATCTCTAATTGTAGAAAAGAGTAAAGAACGGCCCAAACGCCTACAGCTACTCAGCCCACTGTAAAATCGATTTGCTAATGACACTGTAAAATAAGGTCAAACATATGTAGCTTATGTAAAAATCCAGGTTTATCTGAGATTAAAGAAAAGATACTATGCTTTAGCAACAGCATCTCTTAAGTTAAAAGGAAATGTTTTCTTCCTTTGGAGAACATTATTGTAATTTAAAAAGTCTTTGGTATAGTTGTTCAGTGGGTATAGAGCTTCAATTACACCAGATAACTCTAGCCCTAGGCATCACCTGTTGCAGAGACCCTATAACACAGTACCTATGGTTAACTATGTGGGGCTGTCCACTCAATCATTTGTTAAGCGGGTAGATCTTATGTAAAGCATTCTTAATAGCAACACACACACACACATCCAGGGGACACAAGGCACTTCTGGTGGGGACAGATATGTCCATTACCTTGCATATGGAGATGAGATCTCAGGAGTATGCATATGCCCAAACTCATCCAATTCTATCTATTAAACATGTGCATTTCTTGTATGTATCAATTATACCCCAATAAAGCTGTTTAGAGAAAAGAAATAAAAAATAAAAAAGTTCTTGGGTTTGTAAAAAGTGAAAAAAACATCACTTTTTGTTAGTTTGTGAAAAAAAAATATCATGAAAGCTCCACAGATGACTGTCAATTTCTCTTTGGATTAACAGAAACTGAAAAATAAATTCATGTAAAAGTTGACGAGACAGTGTAGACGTATGACAAAGTACAGAACAAACTTATTAAGAAAAAATTACTTTTCTACAAGAGACTGTTACAATCCCAGAGGGAACTAAAACATAGAATCTACTTGAAGGAAGAGGATAATAATTTTGACAGTGAATTATCCATAAATCTTAAAAGAAAAAACAAAACAAACACCCCCCCCCTTGCGATATGGAAGCTTAAAAGGGCAATAATTAGTTACTTCTTCAAGATCCCTTCTAATCTGCTGAGTTACAGAGATTAAGTAGGCCCTGTTCTGCAATTTAAACTTGGGGTCAAGGCTCTGAATACAACTTGTAACTAACAGTAATACACAGGCATCGAAGAATGTTTGTTGAACAAGCTACCTGCCATGTTTCTAGACAGAAAAATGTGTACTTTTAAGAAGTTTTTACTGTACTTCCTTTCTGTATTTTACACATGTTCTTATTTCCCACATGCTTAATTAATGCCATCTCTGTTTAGACTTTTAAAGTCATCTTGCAGGATCCCCTTGAGATATGACTTTCATTATAAAGCATGCCTTAAAAGACCTTACCTAAATGTTGTGCTTTATGTAGAAGAAACAAAAAAGTTGGCAACTATTTTCCATATGTTTTGGCCTGGGTGTAGAGCACCATTCAAATAAATCTGTTCTTGTGTAGGTTTTTAAACTTCCTCTCCCTTCCTGGAATTGAGAATGCAATGTTTCACTAAACAGAACATCACTGGTTTAGATTATGTGACTGATAGAGGAGGACACTGAGCTCTGATCACCAATAACTGTGACGCTGATGGCCGTATTCCTTCCATTTCAGGCATGAGTGACTGACATTAATCATCATCTGGAATATAACAGTAGCATATCCAGCACATATTGAAATTTAAAAATAAATGAATGGTGAGAACACTGATTTAAAATGACCTACTAAAATAAAATTTAACTTCTTAATCTACTCTTTCTTAACCTTTAGAAGAAAAGTCTCCCACTACAAAAAGGTAGACTATAAGGAAAATATGCTACTATGATGTGAATAACCTAAAAAAAACCCTGATTTTGTATTTTGCCACACTATGCTTTACAATTAAAAGAATCTTTCCATTTGTAGCTAGATTAACTGGACTCTGGATATGAAACATGACCTGTGGGGTATAATTATAAAACAGAGAAAAACAAGATTCTGTGCTATTTCTCAGAACACACTTCACTGCACAAAGTTCAAGAAACTGTGTGCTCATTTTTAAAGGTTATTCCTTTTCAGATTGCTGGGAGAAATATCAATAACCTCAGATATGCAGATGATACCACCCTTATGGCAGAAAGTGAAGAGGAACTGAAGAGCCTCTTGATGAAAGTGAAAGAGGAGAGTCAAAAAGCTGGCTTAAAATTCAACATTCAAAAATCTAAGATCATGGCATCTGGTCCCATCACTTCATGGCAAATAGAGGGGAAACAATGGAAACAGTCAGAGACTTTATTTGGGGGGGGGTCCAAAATCACTGCAGATGGTGACTGCAGCCATAAAATTAAAAGATGCTTGCTTCTTGGAAAGAAAGCTCTGACCAACCTAGACAGCATATTAAAAAGCAGAGACATTACTTTGCCAACAAAGGTCCATCTAGTCAAAGTGATGGTTCTTCCAGTAGTCATGTATGGATGTGAGAGTTGGGCTATAAAGAAAGATGAGTGCCAAAGAATTGATGCTTTTGAACTGTGGTGTTGAAGAGTCCCTTGGACTGCAAGGAAATCCAACCAGTCAATCCTAAATGAAATCAGTCCTGAATATTCATTGGAAGGACTGATGATGAAGCTCCAATACTGTGGCCACCTGATGTGAAGAACTAACACACTGGAAAAGATCCTGATGCTGGTAAAGATTAAAGGCAGGAGGAGAAGGGGGTGACAGAGGATGAGATTATTGGATCGCATCACCGACTCAATGGACATGAGTCTGAGAAAGCTGCAGGAGTTGGTGACGGACAGACAGGCCTGGCGTGCTCCAGTCCATGGAGTCTGAGCACATAAACTGACTGACTCTTTTTCCCCAAGGGAAAAAACTAAAATTAGGATTGAACAGGTATATTAAGAAATTAAGTACAAATAAAAGTGTTAGTTGCTCAGTCCTCTTGGACTGCAGCCTGAGAGGTTCCTCTGTCCATGGGATTCGCCAGGCAAGAATACTGGAGTCGGTTGCCATTTCCTCCTCCAGGGGATTTTCCTGACCTAGGGATCGACCCTGTGTCACCTGCAGTGCAACCGGATTCTTAACACTGACCCACCTGGGAAGCCCTAAGTACAAATAACACCTGTCTAAATTATTTTCAAAGTCTGTATCTCTCTCTTCCGAATCCCAAACTATGTCAATTAGAAAAACGTCCATCCAATAAACAGTTCTAGACATCTGATATCTTACTGCAGAAGAAATGCATATGCCCAATACTCAAAACCAAAACGAAACAAACCAAACCAAACACAAAAAGAACACCAAATCCTTTCTCCTTCTTTCAACCTCTCAGAAAACAAAACGGTGGTGGGAGTGAAACGGCAAAGCCTGGAGGCGTCGGCAGGGTACGAGCGGAGGTCATGCCACGAACTTGACAACGCGATGAGGGACAGCCGCCTCGCACTGCAGGCGGACAGCGGAGTACCACAGAGTGCCCCACTGGACGCAGAACCGGGAAGCAGTTGTCAACTCTAGACGCTGTCGTGGTAGGAAGCCAGGAGGAGGCTGACAGGGGTCCAGAGGCCCGGGGGAATAGCCTAGCAGACCAGACCCTCCCACAGGTGGTCTCGGGCCTGCGGGTCCACACACCGGCCCGAGGGAGCTCTCGCCAGCCGGAGAGAACAAGGGCAGGCCGTGCCAGCAGGTTTCCGTTAAGCCAGGCCCCGGCGCCCTGTCTTCCGACCCCGTCCCGCTCCCTCACGAGGATGCAGGTGGGCCGTGTCACGGTTCTCAGGGGGGACGGGGAGGGCTGGGTCCCAAACACGGCGAAAGGCCCGGGGGTCGGAGGGGGGGCCCTGGGTCACCTGGAAGGGGGACCCCAGCCTAGGGGCCGCCTCAGCCAGACGCAGCGTCTCCCCCTCCCCAGGTCCGCTGCCATCACCTCCTGCGTCTCCTCCTCGCCCACTCCGGCACTTGCCACCTCAGCCGCCGCCGCCACAGGCGCCGCCTCCCCGCCAGGTGCTCGCATCCCCGGCGCCCGCGCGCCACTTCCGCTTATGTGTCCGCCTGCGCGTGCGCAGTCGCACGGCCCCGCCCCCTCACCGGCCCCGAGCCTCCGCCGGCGGGGGCGCGGCTACGCCTCGCTCATGCGCCCTCTGCCCCGGCGCTCGCTGTCCCAGCGCCGCTGTGGTCCAGAGGTGATGCTGCGAGTGCGCTGCTCAGCCCGTTAAACGTAGCGTCCCGGCGGCGAGTGACTGTCGGGTGGAGAGCTCTCCTCCTCCGAACTGTACTGCTATTGTTTCTAGTCTTCGAGCCTCTGAGCCCGTGCAGCTCCTCTGGCTGCAGGGCGGGGGACCCTGGGCCCCGTGGGTGCCCACGCAGGTGGCCTTGCCCTGGAGTTTGAGAAGGAAGCCGGCTGGAGAATGTTGAACCCCGATACAGACACCCCAGCGGTTCCCTCTTACCTCTGCTCGATCCAAATGAGATGGGGTAAAGTCACACTACCTTTCTCTACTTCCATGTTCTACCTGCTTTCTGGAGACGGTGAACCCAAGTAATGCTTCCGTTGCCTCTGACGGAATCATTCCGTTTTGGGCTACTGCAACCCCGGTCCTTTTCGCGAGAATTAGCGTTGGTGTGACGGTGCCACTTGCTGCTCAGAATGTGTAAATCCCACAGCTCAGCCAGCCCCCAAACCAAACGTTTTCCCTGCAGCTAGGGCTGCAGGTGCAGTGATAATTGGTTTGGGGGTGACGCTAAAATGTTACAGATTACTGGAAGAAAGGAACATTTTTGAGAACATGCTTTCGATACCGAGGAAAGGAATGAATTGGGTTAATATATAGGTTGCAATCCAGTTGTGTGCAGCTTTTTTTAATTTCACAGGGAGGAGCGTGAAGATTTATACTGAAGCACAGCGGGCATTTCCTGTTGGAGGTGGTGGGTCTGCTAGGCATTTCCATTTAATACGTGTTAGGTTGAATTTTACAAATGTTGACTATGGCTTAGACAGTTTAAATGTCCTCAAGAAGTAGTAAATGACAGGCTTCCAATGATGCCATTCTGTTACTTGGATAATGTGGATTTAAGTCTGCTGTTAGGCATGTATACAGCATGGGTCGTGCACATAATCCATAAATTAGAAATGTAAGCTTCTGACCTTAAGGAGTTAGAGATAGACAGGAAAGGGTAAATGTTGGCATGAAACAACTTACAAGAGATGTCCTGAGTTACCATCTACTTGTACCTGGACAATTGTGGTAATCTTCTAGCCAGTCTTGCTGCTTCCCTTTTATTTCTCTACATCTCAGTTCCCTTCAGCAGCTGGAATGATCCTTTTAGAAACTGTGAGAGAATATACCATTCCTCTGCTCAGAACCCATTTTACTCAGATTCAAATTCAAAAGCTTTACCTTCTAAGTTCAAAAGTTCCTCCTAAGAAGAAAACTCCATCTGGATGAACCGCATCCACAGCTGCTATTTAAAGCCCGTCTCACCCTGTCCTGCCACCCTGGGCAGCAGCCCTCAGGACTCACTGTTCCTTCTGCACAGACCACTGCCCTCTCAGCTATCCACGGAATGAGTGCCCTCACTTTCCAATGTAGTTGGTCAAATGTACCTTGGTCTGAGAGTTCTTCCCTGACTGCTCCATCCAGAAGAGCTAACTGCCACCCGCCCCAACCACCCACACCTGCCCCAACCACCCACACACTGTCCTTCCTCAGCTTCATGTGACTGCATAGCACTTGTGATGACTTCCCACACATGTGTTGTTTATATCTCCCTCACCTCTTTCAGTTCAGTTCAGTTCATTCGCTCAGTTGTGTCCGACTCTTTGCGATCCCATGGCCTGCAGCACTCCAGGCCTGCCTGTCCATCACCAACTCCCAGAGCTTACTCAAACTCGTGTCCTTTGAGTCAGTGATGCCATCCAACCGTCTCGTCCTCTGTTGTCCCCTTCTCCTCCCGCCTTCAGTCTTTCCCAGCATCAGGGTCTTTTCTAATGAGTCAGTTCTTTTCATCAGGCGGCCGAAGTATTGGCGTTTCAGCTCCAATGAATATTCCAATGAAAATTGGACTATTCCAGTGAATATTCAGGACTGATTTCCTTTAGGATGGACTGGTTGGATCTTACCTCTTTGGCTCTGCTGAAATGTTCCATGAGAGCAGGACTTTGGTCTGATTTATTCACAGCTCTAATGCCATCATCTGGAAAAGAGTGCCTGGCACACAGGCTGCTCTCAGTAATTACTTGGTGAGCCAGTGACTCAGTGCCAAACGAGTATGAGGATAGTACTAAGGAAATTCAGGAGAAATAAAATGTTGGCTGGAGTGGTTTGAAAGCTTCCTTTAGAAGGCAGGATCTAAAGGATGAGGAGGATTCTCTTTGGGTGAAAGGGGGCTGTTTAGAAAGGGGGAAAGGGGAAGGAGGGGTAGTCAGAACAGAGTCAACCAAAACAGAGACACTGGACAAGGCTGTCTTGGAGTCTGCAGTCATTCTCAGTGCAGCCTCTGAAAGTATAACCCAAATGGGAAACTGCTAGTGGCACATCTGTGAAAATTCACTTTGCTTCATTAAGGCTGGTTTATCTTTCCCTCTTTACTGGAAAATCCTATCCTTCCTAGATTGTATCCATCAGATACTGTCAATTCCAGACTGACCAGGAAATACATTTAGAGAACAGTTGAATGAAAGTCATGAAAAAGAAAATACTGAAAATAGCAAAGAATTAAATGTTTAAATAAAGCATCAGTGACACACACACATTTAAGAATTTCTCTTGTACCTGAAAGACGAAGAAAATAATATGACACAAAATAACCAGCTGGATTAAATGTCCCTGTAATTCTCTCTGGAAGTCCAAAGGTATTTCTTATGTATGAAGAAAGAAGAAAATCAAACAGTTTCATTTTCTAAAATTGTCCCAATTTCAACTATGACACTGCTTCATTATAAAGTTACGTTTATTTAATTCTTTGCCATAAGGTTTTAAATCACTTTATATATATCAAACAAGAAGTACAATAAATTATATAAATATGTAAGTGTGTACTTCTCATCAGTAATTTTCATAATCCTAGTCATGAAGATAAGCATGACTTTGCCTTTTTGATAATCAGAGAGTTTGTTTATTATAGGATTACTCTTTAGGAATCCAGGGTAACTTTTACATTAAATCAAATGAGCAGTACTTTAATTAAATATTATAAAAACTTTTTTAATGTAAAAGTCAATGTCATGGGCCATGTTGTGTCTCCCACAAAATTCCTGTGTTGAGATCCTAGCCTCTAGTACCCTAGAACGGGATTGTATTTGAAGATATGGTCTTTAAAGATGTAATTAAGTTAAAATGAAGTCAAGAGGGTGGACTCTAATCCAGTTTGACTGGTCACCCCGTAAAAAGAGGAAATGTGGATACAACACATACAGAGGGAAGACCATGCGAAGACACAGCACTTTATCTTGAACTTCTAGCCTCTGGAAATGTGAGGAAATAAATTCTGTTGTTTAAGCCACCGATCAGTGGTATTTCGTTAAGGCAGTCTTGGCAGAGTAACACAGGCAGTGATGTATTTTCCCAGGTCAGATGTGAGCTGTGTGAGAACCAGTCTGGAGGCATACTTGTTACAGATGAGGCGTTTAACCAATACTGGCTCCAGAACACTACCACCCATTTACCCTGTGGGAACCCTTGCGGTCCAACAGAACTAAAGATGTGCAGCTGTGAATGGGTTATAACGTCTAAGACATTCACTGGCCTGTGTGTCAAAAGCCTTCGGTGCCCTGACCCGTATTCTCGGCGTCCCTTCTAGCGTCTGACTCGCTGGGTAACAGTTTTATGCAAGCTTCCCCTCTTCTCCCCGATGGCTTCTCTGCGTTTGCCAGGCTGCCTGAAGCCCTTCTGACTTTGCCAGCCCCTGAGCCCAGTGGTAGCTCTCTCAGCTCATGCCATGCACGGCCCAGAAGCGTTGGTGAGTTAACACTCCTGGGTCCGCCTTCAACCAGGTAACAAGAGCCAGTGGATAAAGATTCTTGTCTCACCCCCTTTAGCAAGACAGGTTGGTGAGACTGTTCTCTGTGCTTCTTAAGAGGTCCTGGGGAAATGGAGCTCCGATCGCCTACAGCACCAACTTCAGTAACATACTTCTGTATCATCTTCTGTATCTTTCTCCTCATCCTCTTCCTGCTTCTAACTAGAATCATCTCCCAAGTGACCTGGCCATACACAAGTAGTTGTCTTAGGTGATGCTTTGGGGGAAAACCAAACTAGGAAGTTTTGTGTAAGAAGAAAGTCTGAACTGAAGCCTCTCGGGTCTCTGGAATTGTTGCTCACCAGTCAGATGGCTCCTGTGTGCTTGGCATCAGGGCTACTAAGGCGCTTCCTCCCTGTCGTGGGTAAAAGATGAATCATTGATCTTCCTGGTCGCTCTGGCATTTAAATGGGAAAGGGGCAGTGGTACTTCTAAGGATGGGGGATTTTATTTTTTAATCATCGTGATCAGCCAGCTGTCAACTCAGGGCTCACCATGAGAACTGGTTGTGGACCCCATATCAATATTTAACTGTGGATATGTATGATTAATATTGGAATTGCAGTGCCTGTTAGTATTAAAAATTTAGTTAGCATTAAAAATGCATGTTAGTATTTAAAAAAATTTAACCCAAACATACTGTTGACAAAATATAAAAAGGGACAAAATTAGGTCAGTTGTAGTGATGTGAGATGAAACTAGAGTCTGTCATACAGAGTGAAGTAAGTCAGAAAGAGGAAAGTAAACATTGTATATTAACGCATATATATATATATATATATATATATATATAAATATATATATATAATCTAGAAAAATGGTAGAGATGAACCTATTTGCATGGCAGGAATAGACACGTCGTGGAGAATGGACTTGTGGACATGGGGCAGGGGAGGGAGAGGGTGATGAGGTGAGAGAGGAGCACTGTTGTATAATACTTTGTTGTGTTGTAAAGTCATGTCCGACTCTTTTGCAGCTCTCTGGACTGTAACCCTCCAGGTTCCTCTGTTGACGGGATTTCCCAGACAAGAATACTGGAGTGGGTAGTGATTCCCTTCTTCAGGAGATCTTCCTGACCCAGGGATTGAACCCAGGTCTCCGACATTGCAGGTGGATTCTTTACTACTGATCCACCAAGGAAGCATGCATATACACTGCCATGTGTAACATAGCTAGCTAGTGGGAAGCTGCGGTATGGTACAGGGCGTGCAGCCTGGAGCTTTGTGATGACCTAGAGGCCGGGATGGGGTGGGGAGGGAGGCTCGTGAGGGAGGGGCTGCATGTATGCTTGGAGCTGATTTACGTTGTTCTGCAGCAGAAACTAACACGACATGGTAAAACGGTTATCCTGCAATTAAAAAAAATTAAAAATAGATGTTGGCACAGAAGAAGGAGGAGACAGGAATACTAAGCAGTCTTGTAGAAAGGTCATATTGAGTGATGAAAGGTTCATGGTATGTGAACAACAGTGATGAATCAGAAAACTGACATTCCATAATGTGGAATAAATTTCATTTTCTCTAGAATGTTAACTCCTTTAACCAACATTTATTGACTAGATCAGGAAAAATATATCATTTCTGGAATTAAAAAAGTATCATACAGAGTAGTTTCACTGCCCTAAAAATCCCCTACACTTCACCCAGTCAACCGTCCTTCTCTCCCCACGTATCCCTGGCAACCACTGATCTTCTACAGTCTTCATGGTTTTCATTTTTCCAGAAGTCATGCGGTTGAAATGTACAGTATGTAGCCTTTTCAGATTGACTTATTTTGTTTAGCAGTATGCATTTAAAGTTCTTTCAGACTTCTTCATGTCTTGATAACTCACTTCTTTTTATTGCTGAATCATATTCTACTGTATGAATGTTCCACAGGTTATCCATGCACATTTTGAAGGTCATTGATGCTATTTTCTAAAGATTATTTTTCACTTTATATGAGATTTTAGAAGATTTATTTAAAAGAGTAATTAAATGCAGAAATGTATTATTTCTAGAAACAAAAGAAATTAGAAGATATACCTCATGGTAAAACATTTAATTAAATCCTCTTTAGCTCTGAAATCTATATTTCATCAATATAGGACAGAATTTAGATTCTGAAAATAGACAAGTTCTTTTTATAATCATAAAAAGGCATTTAAAAATTTCATCTTCTTCATAATCAAATCTCCAACAGCATGAGAGGGTACACAGAAATATTTTCTTATGAATATTTATCTCATCATTATGTCTCAAAAATCTTTTTAGTAGGAAAGTTTTTAATGTATATTTTGTTAAGGCTTATATTATAGAAAATTCTTCTATACTATGGGAAATTCTTCAAGAGATGGGAATAACAGACCACCTTACCAGCCTCCTGAGAAATCTCTATGTCAGTCAAATAGCAACAGTTAGAACCGGACATGGACCAACAGACTGGTTACAAATCAGGAAAGGAGTATGTCAAAGCTGTGTATTGTCGCCCTGCTTATTTAACTTATATGCAGAGTACATCATGCGAAATGCTTGGCTGAATGAAGCATAAACTGAAATCAAGATTGCCAAGAGAAATATCAAAAACCTCAGATATGCACATGACACCACCCTTATGGCAGAAGTGGAGAGGAACTAAAGAGCCTCTCGATGAAAGTGAAAGAGGAAAGTGAGAAAGCTGGCTTAAAACTCAATGTTCAAAAAACTAAGATCATGGCATCCAGTCCCATCACTTCATGTCAAATAGATGGAGAAACAGTAGAAACAGCAACAGACTTTATTTTTTGGGGCTCCAAAATCACTGCAGATGGTGACTGCAGCCATGAAATCAAAAGATGCTCACTCCTTGGAAGTAAAGCTCTGACCAACCTAGACAGCATGTTAAAAAGCAGAGACATTACTTTGCCAACAAAGGCCCATCTAGTCAAAGCTATGGTTTATCCAGTAGTCATGTATGGATGTAAGAGTTGGACTATAAAGAAAGCTGAGCCCTGAAGAATTGATGCTTTTGAACTGTGGTGGTGAAGAAGACTCTTGAGAGTCCCTTGGGCTGCAAGGAGATCCAGCCAGTCAATCCTAAAGGAAAGCAGTCCTGAATATTCACTGGAAGGACTGATGCTGAAGCTGAAGTTCCAATACTTTGGCCACCTGATGTGAAGAGCTGACTCACTGGAAAAGACCCTTATGCTGGGCAAGATTGAGGGCAGGAGGAGAAGGAGATGACAGAGGATGAGATGATTAGATGGCATCACTGACTCAATGGACATGAGTTTGAATAAGCTCCGGGAATTGGTGATGGACAGGGAAGCCTGACATGCTGCAGCCCATGGGGTCGCAAAGAGCTGGACACGACTGAGCAACTGAACTGAACTGATACTATATATAGAGTCCTAGAATATACAGAGGGGGTTTAGAGTCATCTGGTCCAGTTTGAATTTCTTCTTTGACATTGAGGGCAGGTAGTCTCAGAGCATATTTTTAAATGATAGGAAGGTTACTCTTATAGATCAGTGGGTTTTAGTCTTTTTAGATAATTCTAAAGATCACTTCATGGCAGACAGAAGGGGAAAAAGTGGAAGCAGTGACAGATTTTATATTTTTGGGCTCCAGAATCACTGTGGATGGTTACTGCAGCCAAGAAATTAAGAGATGCTTGCTCCTTGGAAGGAAAGCTATGACAAACCTAGAGAGTGTATTAAAAAGCAAAGACATCACTTTGCTGACAAAGGTGTTTCTAGTCAAAGTTATGGTTTTCCCAGTAGTCAGGTTTGGATGTGAGACTTGGATCATAGAGAAGGCTGAGCACTGAAGAACTGATGCTTTCAGACTGTTGTGTTGGAGAAGACTCTTGAGAGTCCCTTGGACTGCAAGGAGATCAAACCAGTCAATCCTAAAGGAAATCAGTCCTGAATATTCATTGGAAGGACTCAGGCTGAAGCTGAAGCTCTAGTCCTTTGGCCACTTGATACGAAGAGCTGACTCATTGGAAAAGACCTTGATGCTGGGAAAGATTGAAAGCAGCAGGAGAAAGGCATGACAGAGGATGAGATGGTTGAATGGCATCACCGACTCAATGGACATGAGTTTGAGCAAACCCTAGGAGGTAGGGATGGACAGGGAAGCCTGGAGTGCTACAGTCCCTGGGATCACAGTTGAATGTGACTTAGTGACTGAACAACAACAACAATGATCATTAGAAGAGTCTTCCTTTTACTGAACTAAAGTGTGTTTTACCATAATTTCTCCCCATTCATTCTAATTCTACTCCATGAATCATAAAGAAGACATTTAATCTTCTTTTCCAATGATAGTCCTTTGAATATTCAAAAAGCAGCTATGAGATCTTTGCATATTGGACATCGTGAGTTTCTTATCATCTTACATATCACCCTCTGAATTGTTGTGCTAATGCTGTTGTTCAAAAACATTTTGTGGATGCACTGCCCAAGTTTATTCATTTGCTGTATCTTAAGTGCCTGCTTCCTGATAGACTCTGTTAGGCTCTGGGAATGTAATGGTAAATAAGACAAAAGATGAAACATACTTCTGGACTTCCCTGGTGGTCCAGTGGCTGAACCTCTGCATTCCCACTGCAGAGGCTGCAGTTTCAGTTGCTGGTCAGAAAACTGAGATTCTACATGCTGCATAGCATGGCAAAAAAAAAAAAAAAAAAAAGATGAGATATACTTCCAAGGGCTGAATTGTGTTGTTGTTTTTAGTTGCTAAGTTGTGTCTGACTCTTCTGTGACCCCATGGACTGCAGCCCACCAGGCTTCTCTGTCCATGGGATTCTCCAGGTAAGAATACTGGAGTGGGTTGCAATTTTCTTCTCCAGGGGATCTTCCCCACCCAGGGACGGGACCTTTGTCTCCTGCATTGGCAGGCTGATTCTTTACCACTGACCCACCAGGGAAGCCCAAGGGGTGAATGCAGACCAACAAAAGAAAAAAGTTAGTGAAGTAAAATCAAACAGTGATAAATTGTGAACAGTGTAATGAAGGGGAGAGTCAAGGAGTCAAGAAAAAAATGGGTGGGGTTGGGGGAAGCAGCTATTGAAGATGTTTGGGGAAGTCTCCCGTGAAGGAGAGACGAAATGCAAAGGAGGAACGTTCTAGGCAGTCGTGGTCATATGTGCTAGAGCTCTGAGGTGGAGAGGACTTCAAATTCTAGAACGTGAAGGCTCCCTGGGACTACAATGCAGTGGGAAAAGGTGCTCGTGGTTGTTTTAAAATGTCTCAGCATATCTTTTCTTAAGATGGAGACTAATTTCCGCCCCTAAATCTGGGTTGGACTTGGTGGTTCTCTTTTGATGAACGGAAGGGGGCAGAAGTGATGCCCTGTGACTTCTGATGCATGGTCATTGGAAAGAAAAAATGGCTTCCAGTAGGTTTGCTCAGGCTTGGCTCCTCATTCAGAGAGAGGTCGGCTGCCACGTGATGCCCTAGCAGCCCGTGGAAAAGCCCATGTGGTAGGGACCTGAGGCCCCGCTGACGGCAGGTACCAGGCCTGTGGATGGCCCGTGAGGATGAGCCATTTCGGAGGTGGATCCACCGGTCCCGTCATACCTCCCAGTCAACATCATCTCGACAACCTCCTGAGAGGCCCCAAACCAGGACCACCCAGCTAAGCCGCTTCTGAGTTCATGACCCACGGAAACTGCGAAACATACCGCATTCACTGCTGTTCTGAACCACTGAGTGTTGAGATAATTTGCTATGCAGAGAGCTAGTTAGGGAAGGGTGTGTCTGTCAGGTTGCCTTTGGCTTGAGATAACACAGGGCCAGTGTGCCAGGCTGCCTCTGACTCTTTGCCACCCCCTGGACTGTGGCCCGCCAGGCTCCTCTGTCTGTGGGATTCTCCAGGCAAGAGTACTGGAGTGGGATGCCATGCTCTCCTCCAGGGGATCTTCGCGATCCGGGGATTGCACCCACGCCTCTTCCATCTCCTGCCTTGGCAGGTAGGTTCTTTACCACTAGCGCCACCTGGGAAGCCCTGAAATAACCTAAGACCGACAGGAAGCACCTTACAATGAGGAGTCTGTTGCAGACCTTACTAGGACGCCCAGAGGTGGGCAGCTCCGGGCTTCGTCCGTTCTGAGGCACCATCACGCCCCCAGGAGCTGGCCTGGTTCTGCTCTGGCATCTGTTCCTCACCAGTGGTGTCGCCTCAGAGGACCACGAAACAACAGCAGCGGTTTCAGCCGCCGCTCGCCAAGTGAGGCATTTCCTCCCGAGTGTGCTTGTACAGGTAAGGAAAATCTTTCCCTCACAGTTGGTGGCCAGAACTGAATAAAAAAAAAATCACATGTCCACCAGAATCTGGCAGATGAGATGGAGAACAACGCAGGGGCTTTGGATGACACCTCGATTTCTGGCTTACGCCACTAACTAGAACACCCTCTTTGTTGTTGCTGTTTTCTTTTTTTTTCTTTTTTGTTTGGGTGGGGAAATCAAGAGTTCCCGTTTGTATATGTTAAATCTGAGATGCTATCGGACATACACGTTGAGACGTCAGGGAGCAGTGGGCTGTTTACATTTGGAGTGAAAAGAGGAGATAAACATGTAAGCATCATCTGCCAAAAGATGGCTTTTGACTCCGTGCAGTCGATGACGTGACCACAGGGGAATGGGTGGGAGGCGGTGGGAGGTCCATAGTCCAGTCTGAAGACCCTCAGCACGTCAGATGTGGGCACAAGAGGAGCCAGTGAAGGGAGAACCAGGCAAGTAGGAGGGAGTGGGGCGGGCAGAGGATGGCATCCTGGAGGCCACAGAGGCACCTTTATTTCAAGGAGGGCATGGTTAGCTGTGTCCTTTTTGCTGAAAGGTTGAACAAAATGAAGATGTAAAAGTGACCTTTGGGTTTAGCACAGGATGCTGAGCAAGGAGGCAGATTCATAAGAAGCTGAAGGATTCATGGGGTGTGACCGAGTAGAGACGGCCGGTGAATACAGCTCCTGGAGGGGTTTGGTCCTCAGTAGCTTTAAGGGTTGTAAGGTAAGGGAGGTGGAGGCTTGTCAGAAGACTCCAGAGCACATCTCAGTGCTACTGGAAACTTTCCCTCATAGAAAAGGGGAATGATTGACAATACAGGGAAGGCCCAAGTAGTACAGTCCCCGAAAAGGACACACATTTATGCACATTCCTGTATGGCTTTAAAATTAACTATTAGCATACAAATAGAATATCCATTGTTTGGGGAAAGTGATTTAAACAGTATGTTGGACCTATTAACTACTTTTGGTGAACTGGTTTTGCAAAGTGGCTCAGAGTCCAGACTGCTAGATCTAAGTGGCTAAGAATCTAGATCTGCTAGAGAGGTCTTTGTGGGTTCAAACCAGCTGTGTGACCTTGAGGAATTTACTTAACCTCTCTGTGCTCCCTAGTTTTTATAAAATGGAGATAGTAATAAAAGCACCCACCTTCCTAGGACTGTCATCAAGGTCACCCTAGTTATTACATGTAAAGCATTTAGACCAGTGCGTCATCCATGGTAGATGCTGTGTCACAGGCATGTGCTTGCTAGTATTTGCTCGATCAGGTTCTACTAAGTGATTTAGGCTAAAGGTACTGTTATCAGGAAAAAAAAATTGATTAAATTTTATTATTATTTTTACATGTGTTCGGAGTTATGTGTAGAATAGTGTCCTATATTGAGATGCAACCTCAAATGAGAAAGTGAAATTGACACCGTAAACGGTAGTTATCCTAGCGTTACCAAAATCAATGGATTAGTCTCTGCAACGTATTATTTTCTTCTAGTAGGAAGTCTTGAAATATAAAAATTCAAAAAGAATCACTAGATGTTCATCAGAAGGCATCCAAAAAAATACTGATGGGAGCGGTTAAGGTGCTGAGTTAAACAACAGGGCCCAGAATGTAAGATGGATTGTAGCTTGTTTTAGGCGCAACAGCACTTTTCTTCCTCCCTCACCGAAGCTTAATTCCCACCCTAGACTGTCTAGCTGCTTGCAGGAGCCTGCAAAAGATGGAGCATTGATAGGAATTAATGCTCGGTGGGTTTCCAACAGGGAGACCCTTGAAGAACTGAAAAAGCATGAATAAATGTATTCCAATTACAGGCGAACGTGGGAGCGGGTCGACTGGCGCTTAGGGGTCTGGATCGGCTCGCCGGCGATGTGGGCATTATGGAGTGATTTTTACTTTACTGCCTTTTCCATCAGATCATCCCCTTCCTTTCACACACAAGGTTAATTCACTTCTTGATCACATTATTTCCTCGCTGCTCTTTGACAATATAAAAATTCTGAGTGGACAGCTCAATCCCTCTTCCATCTCAGATTTGATTGTTATGGTATTGCCTGGAGTCCCTCCGCGGCCTCCAGCAGCCCGCACCGCACTTTATGACACTTAAATGGCTCGGCTACAATTTCTCCATCTATTCACGAAATGCTGTTAATAACTCATTTCCAAAGAGGCCCTTCTTTATGTCTTGGCATTAAAGGAATTTTTATTAGGTGCCAGGATAGGTGACCCACAGCCCCAGTAACCAAAGAGTTAATTAATCTGTTGAAATTTATTGCCTTTTATACTGCACTCAGTGTGACAGTCCCTAAGAGAAACAGATACTATATTTACAACCCGGGTTGAAATATTCAGTAATATAGTCTGCATAGTGACCTACTCCATCAGTGTATGCCTTCTGCTGGAATGTCCATTCATCACAGAAGATGAATTTGTGTAATCTATCTTCTTTCTTATTCTGAGATTCCAATAAATATTGAAATAATAATTTATTGATTACCTTGCAATATAAATGCGTAGTGAAGTCACCCAAGACGTTTGCATGGTAATGCATTTTGGAAGTTCTTGGCGTTTGTTGGGAATGAAAGGCAAAAATGTAGTAGGAGTGACATGGAATATTCTTGTAGGTAAAACACCAAACTTAATTTCATATTTCGTGTAGGGAACTGGTGAGGGGGGTGGTTTCTGGACTACCAGCTGTTGAAACCATAGCCATGATGATTGTTCTGCAAAGTAAACATTACGAATATTTATGATCACATCTGCACCTTACCTTCTTTGTGTATTTATTGTTGTTGTTGAGTCGCTACCTTGTGTCTGACTCTTTGCGACCCCCTAGACTGTAGCCCACTAGGCTTCCCTGTCCATGGGATTCTCCCAGGCAGGAATACTGGAGTGGACTGCCACTTCCTTCTCCAGGGGGTCTTCCTGACCCAGAGATAGAACCCTGGTCTGCACTGCAGGCGGATTCTTTACCACTGAGCCGTAAGGGAAGCCCTCTTTGTGTTTTACCCCTAGAACATTTTAGATCACAGATGCTTTCTTTGTGTCACCTTCACTTGTAAAACCACTTCTTTCCTGCATGTAGTACAGGCAAAGATTAAAAGGATTTAGGAATGGTGGGTACCACCTTCCATTTAATTCCAGTTGTATCTTCTAGGACCGTTTTATAAATTCTCAGTCTGAACTGTATATTTCCTATGACTGTACTTTGGAGGGTCCTTTGGATTCTTGACCTAAATCTCAATTCCCTTCTAAAATTTTTTATGGGTTTTTGCTGTTACTTATGGGGCAATTTTTTGGTCATGATTCTAGGATCATGATAATATTTTGCATCAAATCTGGTTTGGTAGAGAAACATGGGAGAAGTGTATGAACGGTATTGTAGAACATTGAGATGGCCTTGTGAATCAAGCACAACTATTGTTAAACACTCAGAAACTCTAAATGTCTTTATATCTGGATATATTACGCAGTTTGGGTGAACATGAACTGAACAGCCAGCATTTCTGTTCCGCATGAGTGCCAACACCAGCAACCTTATACCTTAGGGTTTGTTGTAGGTGCAGTTCTAGTGAATTCAGTCGCATTCAGTTAATGTAGCCTACCTCTGGTCTCCATAATAATTTATCTTGGTTTTGGGCAACTCTTTATAATCAAGATAACTCTTCAGAGTGGATGAAATTCTAGTGTGTGAAGTTTGCTTTCTAGTGCTTTATTGATAAGGTTAACCAGATGGTGAAATATAATACCTTGAAAGATTCAGTTTTGATATACAGTCAGTCAATTCTGGAATAAGGAAAAAGCAAAAAGAATCAGAGCTTTTTAGATTCATTTTTTGGTCATGAAATTGAAAATATACTCTTTTGGAGGATAAAGAAGTATCTCGTCATAATTCTCCTGACATCTAAACCTCCTGGCTATATGTTTTTAAAAGAAGACAAAGTATGTCGAAAATTTTGTCGTAAAAGCTTTATATAGAATATATTTATATCACATTTTTCCAGGTGAAAAATTATGAAGCTTTTTAATGGCACCTGAAAGTTTTTCTGATGTAGATTCCAAGTAAAATATATTTTCTTAAGTATTTTTAGTAACAATAACACAAATTAAGTTGTATGTTTCTTCTGTCTCTATTTTATTTTGCTGATGTTCTTGTTCAATTGCTCAGTTGTGTTGGACTCTGCGATGCCATGAACTGTAGCACGCTGGGCTTCCGTGCCCTTCACTATCTCTCTGAGTTACTTTGTTCTGGTGAAACTTCGGGTAAGTGACTACCAGTATATCACAGAATTATGCAGTCCCTGAAGCTTATTCTGCTGTAACACTTGCTACTCTGGCACGGATGTTATTCTCTGAAGGTGGACAATATATAGTTTTTTAATCAGGTTTGATTTCCAATGATTTGATTATTTCAATTCTCGATTGCTTATGGATATATATTTAAGTATCTAACAAAAGAATTATGTTGATGCATTTGACTGTTCCTTTAGCGATTAGGTTTGCTATGAGATGGTAGCCACATAATCACTGTGATGATCCTTTTATTATTATTATTATTTTTTTGGTCCTTTTTACTCATTGACATTAATAGCTGCTCCTTGTTCTGCTCATGTAAAGTTATGTTCTGATTGAAGCTCTCCCTGGTGTTTGGCTAATTGGACTATTCATTTAAAGTGTATGATGTTTTATTACCTTATCTTCCATGGTATTTTACATTTTGGATTGACTGATTCTAATTCCTATTTCAGAGTAGTATAATTTCAAAGTAGCATAACCTTGGGGATCCATTACATTTGGCCTTTAAAACACCGCTTTATTTTTCTCCACACAGTAGTGAAAAAACATTTTCTAGCACCCACATTGACTCCCTTTTTATACCGAAGCCACTTTCCCTTCCCCTCGTCATTTAAATCAGTGCAACACACTATGCATTTATTAAGCACCACTTACATGG